CACGAGAATGGCAAGCCCTACATGAGGTTGCTTTAGGGAATTCAAGATAAATAAATATTGTGATGTATGAAATTAGTCCCAGTCATGGTCAAATCTAGTAATGGGAATAGGCCTCAGAGTGGATTTCACCCACATGAGCTGTCATACCTGTGATGAGAAAGTCCTCTGTTTCAGCTTTTATCTCAATTATTAGCTTGCATTGCTCATTAGTCAATAAATATATTAGAAGAATCTCTCTCTCTCTACATATATATTTGTGTTCACATACATGTATATATAGATAAATATACAAATACAATACACAATGCACACAGAAAGGCTTCCAGGGAAGACTTCGAATTAACCCACTGAAATGAAAGCAACAGGAGAGAACMGTGAGGGTATCCCTATGGTTGGGATTAATTAAGTAGATATTTCTCTACCCCAGGCCACAGCTTTGACTTTACAACAGGATATGCACAGAATATATGAACTTTTGTCATCACATCCTTAATGCTTCCGGTAAGAACCTCAACCAAGAAAATGTGGTTAATGAACTTCTGGTCATTGAAATTCCAAAGAAAGAAAAATTGGTTCCTCTGTGTCATGTTCTGCTCTATGACAAGCTGATAAAAAATGTACAGTAATGCTGACAGTGGGTTTTGACATGACATGATATGTCCATGTGAACTTGGATAAATACATGATTTTGGATAACCATTTAACAGCAATTTACAGAAGTACTCAGAAGAAGGTTATCTACAGCAAAAGGCTGCATTGCTGCTAATAATATTTGGCATTTTGCAGTTTCCTGGATATGTTTGTTTTACAAGACCGAAGTGATAAACTGAGCAAGGAAAGTGCTTCTTTTATCTTTTTTGTTTATTTCCCTGTTATATACAGTGTCCAATTAATGCAACTGCCTGCATTGCATGACTGGTGATCTCTGCTACAGCATAGGTAAACCACCAGAAAAGTTTTCTTTTTTCTTTCGTTAGCTGAGAACAGAAGTGAGTGACCTACATTTAAGGATCTGTTCATAGGATAAATTATGTTTCTTTGGTTAAGATTATGAGGATACCAGGTGAAAGCAATGATGAGCATATCGGCATGAGCTGTTCAGAAAAATTCCCCTACTGAAGTGTGCAGAAATGAAAGAGTATTCTGTCTGGGATTGTAGGAAAGTGAGTCATCAGGACTGTGGATAATGGAAATCTAGGGATAAATAAATATTCTGTAAATATCCTCTTCTAATTTTATACGACAAACACCTGCTTTACCACTTTGACAGTTCTTCTGGTTATGGACTTGCTATGCCTTTCACATACAAAGATTCTCACTTTACTAGAGATAAATAAATACAGTTCGTACCAGAGCATCCAGATAGACATTTGTCCACTGGACCTGTTTGGCTTTTTCTCCAGCTAGAACCATCGGTCTTCCCAAAACATCCAGATATTCCTGCCAAAAAAGYGTAATAAATTCATCAGAAGGTAGTTATTAGATTAAGTCTAGAAACAGCATAGAAAATAAACAATAATGAAATGAATACAACAAAAATAGAATTAATGCCAAAGTTCACAAGTAATATAATAACTCAGCAAAGTATTTCTTTAGAATTGTACTTGCCAACAACTCAGTCTTCAATTGGTAGTACTTATTGTCAAGGCAATCCCTATATTTTAGAGTCAGATTACAGAACTATAATCACTGGTTTTGTTCCAAGAAGTCAGAGCTAAAATTACTTCTGTTCAAAAATTATTTGCTAATACAGTTAAATCCTGGAATCTTCAACTCAGGACAGTGAGCAGGCAATAGAGAACGAGAGGTTAACAGGTACATTTATCTCCTACAGCAGGAACTTGCCTAACTACTACTGACACAAAATACTAAAAATTTAAAATCCTGTAGTCCTTGTCTTTCTTTAGACCCAGGGTATGGACAAAGCTAGGGGTCTGGTGGGATGTCAGACATCTCCTTTGGTTGTGTGGGGATGCCATGAAACTTATTTCATGCTTCAATCTTACATGTTCATCTTAACATATTAGTAATATTTCCTGTTGTCAGACCCTATCTGGAGGAGTGTAACAGAATCAAAGAATTTTTATTCAAGCCTAAATAATTTTGGCCAAAAATCTCATGCTGGCYTTGGAAGGATATTTCTACTGCTACGGTATTGCTGTGCTTTTCTGGACATCTAAACACATGAACTTTTCAACAACAAGAAGGAATGTGTGCTCATCTACAGTGTCTGTTTGGGTCATGTCATATAATCCCTGGTTCTTATGTCCTCAATTATCTACACTCCTGTCTGCCAAATTGCTCCTGCATCCCTTCTGAAGGAGAACAGCTGTGTCTCTCCTAGACTGGCGGGATCCATCCAAGAAACTCTCCAATAATCTGGATGGTGCCAGGTCCCTGCCCGTGCCCAGCTCACTGCTATGATACGACTTTCACAGGGTTATGTCCTTATGCCACCCTGTAGCCTTCTTCACATAATACAGCGACGACACTGTAGGGAAAAAAAAGTACAGCAGGAAGAGCCTATGAATTTCTAAACAGGAAAAAAAGAATGTCTAAGGATGGAAGTGGGCTCATATAAGGCCAGGAGGAAAACTGTCCTWATGCACAGAAGGAGCAGGTCTGGTGTGTGATCTCCATATTATCCTAGGGCACCTGTGAGTGAGCAGACACCCAACTTTGCAGGCCAGATTGGGATCAGTCGAAGCTCTATGCTKTGTGCACAAGGCCAGCCCACTGTAGCAGTCACCAGTGTGGCAGTATGTGTTCATGTACAGCAGGACCAGTATGTACTCATGCACTAGTACGTACGCGTGCACCAGCTGTGTGCACCCGCATGCACACAAGCCACTGTGGACCATATGGATCTTGGAAACAGGGATCACTCTGTACACTGAGTCACTGCAACTACTGAAATCTGCTCTTAACATAGTGTGTCTAATGTTTAATTGACTGAAGTCCACTTTGTTGTGTTACAACCGTATCTGCATTCTACAAGCACACTCACCTGGGTGTTTATTCTAATTGCTCCAATGGAAGGGATTTCATAATAATAACCTAAAATTTAAAACAGAAACAATAATATTTTATTAGATGATGGTGCTAAACTTTTCATCTTGAGTAAATTAATTTAACTTGTAAATTATAACTAAAATTTTATGAAAACTATCATGCTTATGAATGGAAAAATTTTTCTGTTAGACAGCACAGCAACGCATGTCCACATACACTGCATCACCATGCCATATAGCCTGGGCTAGCTATTCTTAAGCAATGTCAATGTATAGTGTGTTTCTTTTGGCTTTATTTATATTTTATTTTTTTTAAATGAAATAATGTACTGAACTATACTCCTGAATACCAATTTATTCTGAAGTACTATATGAACAAACCATGTTCATTCAAAAACACAGTAAAACTTATGTGATATTTTCAAAATATTTATTTCCTATATAAAGATCTAGCCACACATAATCTCAAAGAACTGTGTAGCACCTTTGTTTTCACAGGCCATCCACTGTATGGGTCCTTTGTCATAATTATGTTGACCAACAGAAAACGTGAACACACGTACCTGCAAAAATTGAAAAAAAAATGTATATAACTACATGCCATTAATTAGCTGTTAGTCTCAAGTTAATTAATGTTACTTGGATTCTTGTCATATTTGAACAGTAAAAGAAAACTGTAAAATTCTTGTTTTATATCACTACAATAGATACAACAGTATTGTGATATTTTATGTATTCTTATTGAATATTTTGGCCCATGAAGTAGGAAAACTCACAGGAGGCACAGTCTTTCATAAATCTTTGATGCTTTTAATCTCTTGCATGGATTACTCTCTATGAAGTATTTACAGATTTTTTTTTAGGGTGCTTCAGATTTCTATTAAGTCAGTTGACCTAAGCTCTTATTGATGTCGAATGTAGGATTCAAAGCAATGTCAATTTTTTTTTTAGGTTATAAAATTATTTCAGAAAGAAAAGGTATGAAATTTTCAAATACCACTGAAAATAAATTCACCTTTTGCTCTGACTTCCAGTAAATCACTACGTTAGATCAACAGAATTCTATGGAAGGACTTTCAGGTTTAAGCTCCTGATATTTATTCAAGTTATATGTTTTGTAAGCCTTATTCTATTCTGTTTGGCTAATGCAACATAGCTCTGTAACTGAGTGGTGTGCTGGTTCCAGAAAAATTCACAAACTTCTGTGTAAGTTTTTGATAGAAACCAGAGTTTTCAGCAGAAATTATTTTCCATGCAATTTGTCTGATCTAAATGAGAAAAATAAAAACAAAGAAAAAATAATTCTGTACACAGATTACAATTCCTATGAGACAGAAACATTACAAATGTTATGTTCCAGTTTCTGGCTGAACATTTTGCTCAGAAGCTGAACGATCCTTTAAAAGGTAGGAAAAATATTTTCCCACCAGATTTAATAAACTTGTTACTGTTACCATGTCCTTTATATGAAATGGCTTGGGATCAGATTGCTTTTGCTTTTCAGTCATCTGCTTCTTTATGGACCTTACTCGCTTTACCACTTCACTTTATAAAACATAGATTACAGTAAAAAATCAGACTGAGAATGCCTTTTTTTTCCTCAGTTGATGAGGAAATATTGACTATATTGAAAATTAAAACATATTACACTTAATTTGCAAGAAGACTCTAAATGAGTAATAAGTTAATATTTTCTTTAAATAATATTCACAAGGTAAACTTGCAGGCCCTGCTTTGGACTGCTTACTGATTGTTACTTGTTCATTTATAGATTTTTTCCTTTTTTAGCACATTCTAAGATAGACCTTCATTTGTCAGATAAGTAAGCAAAATTGTATGATAAAATTGAAGCTTATATATTAATCAAGAGTTGCAGAGTAGCTCCAAATCATCAGTCAGCAACTAGTAAATGGCAAAACATGTTGACCCATATATGCAAGAAGGGCAACTAAAATTTTGTGCTGGATGTCATTTTTAATTAGCAACAGCTTTTGATCTGCTTTATACATACAACCTCTTTTTTCTTCTGCATCTAAAGGCTGAATTAATGTAATTAATGTCTATTGTACTGATTACTAAATTAGTTTTTATTTTCTTTTTTTTTAATACAGGGAAAATTTCTACTAAAACTATGTCCTACAGGGTCCTCTCCGTGAGCAATGACTCAAGCCTGTGATAGTTCTAGTTACACAGGTATGAGAATGATTGCACATGTGTGATGTGATAAAATTTTCCTCCTATAGCTCATATGTATAAAGGCAGATAAAAAAGCCTTCCATTACCTTGAAAATATCAGCCTTGATAGCAGTTACATGATGTCAACTGATATGTCTGTATCTCATTTGCTTTTTTATTGCTCTATCACCTTGTAAATTCAAGTCAGATTTGCCATCTCCATTTGTCCTTGACCTCTTCCACAAAGTGTCAGCTATATCCCTTCTAATGGATTTTTCTGCCTCCATTTAATCACTGAACATTTTTCCAAGTTAACTATCACAGCGTTATTTTCTATCAATACCTCTCAGCTCACAAGGTCCTTATTACATTTTTGCTCTTTTCTGCACTCACAACTGGTACAACTTAGTGCCCACTTCCTTCAAATTATGTTCTTCAAGATGATGGTGTAATAAGCCCAAAACCCACTAAAAAGTCCTACTAAGATAGCTGAGTGACTTGATGTCTCTTTTAACGGGATTAAAAGTGGCTAATTAAGTAAATAAGAAACAGTCATAGGGGTGTGCTTGTCTGTGTACAAAACCCATGAGTCAATAAGATGGGACTGTCTAACATTTGTTCTGAAATGTAAAAACACTGAAACATTGGACTCAAGTTGTGAAACGGTATGTAATGAAGGGAAAAGAAGCAGCATGTCAAATCTGCAGCTAATCTATAAAAAAATCTAGAATTTTAATTATTGACAACAAGCAAAAGCCAGTACATATGATTTACTGTTGAGTAATTAACAGAGATAAAGAACTGCAATGTAAATTGGAGTTTTTGATTGTTACTTGGCTTAGCAAAGGGCTGTCATGCTCAAAAGAGTTTTCTTTTTCCCATTGTTTCGTCTGAAACTGAGTAGAATGAGAGACCAGCTGGAAAATTGAGTCAGCAAGTCAAATGAAACTAGCCAGTTTTAGCAAAAACCATGATCAGTGCTAAACTTTCCTGCAATAGAACCCAAAGTCAGCCAAGGGACTGAGATCAAACTGCCTATATCTCTTCCTTTCCAAAGCGAAATCCCACCATTTTATGATGAGATTAAAAACAAAAAGAAGTATTTTCCTAACACTAGGCAAAAAAAAAAAAAAAAAAAAAAAAAAAAAGATACCACACACAAACACACAAAAACTTATTGGGTCAAAAACTTAGTACATCATTACATCAGGCAGCCTCTTTTGTTGTGATGATTATGATGTTGTTATGATGATGAATATTTTTATCAGATTATAATTAAGCTAAAGATCCAGACATCTCTTTTTGTATTGACCAAAAGAAGTTGCAATAAAGAAGTCAGTAATTCCGGTATATTCCTGGAAAATGTTTTTCCAACTAATGTGTTCAAAAAGATTATCTGCTATGATGAAAAATTGTGTATGGTTTGCATTTCCTAGGCATACTTCTAAATCAAATCTAAATCAAAAGGAAAATTTACTAATTAAATTTATTTTTCTGAATAAATTCATAAAATCAAATTATGCCTTTTTTTTTTTTTTTTTTTACATCCTAGTATGCATTCCATTTTCTAAAATCCTAGTAAGTATAGCTTTTAAACCACTTAAATCATTTTGGTCTCGGAAATGTTATGTGGTTTTCAAACTGTCACCGTTAAACTTCTGAAGGCAAGTGTTTCCTTACAACTGTGGGCACATCGCCTTAGAGGGGAGTAAAAAGAAAGAAAAAAGTTGAAGAAAACTTCAGATTCTGTTCTAAACTCGCTGAGACCAGCCAGCAATTACAACCAGTTTGAACCCAGGACACMGCTTCAGAGGGGTGATCTAAAAACCCTACCCACTAATTAGGACACCACCTAGAATTGCCACTTAGAAGCAGCAAATGCTGAGTTTCATCTGAATTTTTGTCCACACTATTTTGTGCTGAAGTGCTGAACTCAGGTTTTCCCTGTCTCAAGCTGTTTAAGTTGTATCTACAGAAATAAAACAGCTTTGCTCTATTAGTATGGAGAAGAGAAAGAGTTCTGTGTTTACCAAGAGGCCTAAGACACAGAGTGATGTGTCAGAGGGATCTTTTGGGTCCATTAGGCTATGTTCAGACATAACTAAAATGGGAGACAGTCCTTTATTTCTTACTCCCTGCGGGGCAAGTGGCACAGCATGTCTCCCAGCTCCACAGCTAAATCATCTTGTCACCCTTCCTGCCCGTACCACCTCCTGCACTGGATGGTCTCACGTATAGCTTCCGGAAAGAGCTTGTGCTACCCCGAACTCAACCAGGACATTGCTCACAAGAGCCGAGGGCCATGGGCAAGATCCATGGGGCCGTGGAGTCTGCTACCAATTAYATAGGATGGCGGAGAACCGCAGCCCTCTGCAGCTTGGACATGGCAGTGTGAGTCACTCCTAAGACATGATGCTTCAAGGGTTTCTTGTGAAGGGCTGGAGAGGACTTGACCTTTTCAAAATGACAGTAGTGCCTCTAACCTTCTAAATGAGAGTTTAATGTTGAAACAAGAGGTATCTGAGTTCACGTCTCTCAGACTGAGCAAATTCCGMACTTGAACACTTCGTTCTTTCTCCATGATTCTGTGCCTCCCCATGCATGCACTCCCCATGTTGCACTCACCAACAATTGCGCAAAACACAGAGATAATCTTAGGAGCAGGAGTGATTCAGCTGCTAAGTCTGAGGAAGTTTAAAAAGTCTATGGGCAACACACAACTCAAAATATAGAATTAGAATTTTAAGTCAAGTTAGGAAAATTCAAGATGAGAGCAGGCAGTGAGTGTACCACTTTTTAGTAGAACAATATATGAAAGGAAATGTGCCAAATTTTATCATTAATATTTAAATTCAGATCAGGACCCCTTGATTTGCATACTTTCCATATACATATGTATATATAGACTTGGGGCAAAAAGAACTGGGAAACTGACTAAGATTGTAGTTCTCAAATGGCTGTATTTAGACTGAAAAGAAAATTGTTGTTTGAACATCTTTGCATTTGTAGGCATAAAGTATGAAGGTGTTTGATAAAATATCTACTCAAGTGACCCTTAGACTCAGTAAGGCATTTAAAAGTGCAATGCCCCTTGAATCAAAGAAAATCACTTTCACTGAAACATGCTTAAAGATTACTGAAGTATGTCCTTGAACCTACTTTTCTAGCCACGTATAATTATTCCTCCCAAACTTTCTATGTGTATTTGAASGGTTTTTTTCCATCATCATTAATCATTAATATCTCTCATTCACTATAATTTAACCTTAAACTTTCCAAACTTTTCAAAGTTCCAACACAAAATTATGAATTCATAGTCTAATTGTAGTTTATGTAATTATGGTCTAATATAGAAAAGAAATTAATGTCACTGTAAAAATCAGTTCAC